AGAGAGAGAGAGAGAGAGAGAGAGATATCTTTACTACAAATTATCTTCCTGTTTTGAGACAGGGTCTCTTTTCTGTAGCCCAGTCTGCCCTTGGAACTATGGCAATGTTCCTGCCTCAGCCTCCCGAGTGCTGGGGTTACAGGCATGAGCAACCATGCCCAGTTTATACATAATCTTTCATACAAGATCATCCACCACTGGCCAGGAACAAGGCTTCTTCCCACCTTTCTCAGTGGTGACGGTCCCGCTCTCTATCCCGGTGTCTCTCATGCTCTCGGTTCCTCTCTTGGAAATAGTCATCATGCCGATCTTCGTTATGAAGCATGTCCCGGTGCCGCCTGCTGCTTTCCCGGGACCGGCTGGGTGACCTCTCCCGGGACCGATGTCGTTTCCTATGAGAAAGATCCTTCAGCCTCATTCAGAGGGCCTACCATGGTCTTCCTGCATGTTGTTTTTTTAATCTCCTAGTGCTTACCTAAAATATTATTCTAGTTCTCAATCATGGGCCTACTGTCTGAAGAGCTTAGTTCCTTGAAGACTAATCTTTTTTTAGGAAAATGATTGACAGTTAAATGTTAAGATCTTACCACTGTATCAGAACTTTATGTGCATTATCTGATCTCATCTTTACAACAGGTCTGGTAAGATAAGTACTTTGACTTTTCCTCTTAAATAAAAAAGTGCTTGTGAAATTGCTAACTGAATTCATACTCAAGATGATCATACAGGCAGCTAACAACAGAACTGAGATTCAATCTAAGCCAATATGGTTCAAAAGCCCCATGTGCCCACCTTGTCCCGTTCCCCATTCCCCTTGAGCACACAGTACTGGGGATTGACCCTAGGGCCTCATGGATGTTAGGCAACAACTCTTATAACTGAGCTACAATGCCTACCCCTGAAGCTTCACTGAACACAGGTTGCAAACATTAAGAACGATAGATAAAATGTCCAATTCACTTCTTAAAGACTTGAGTATGAGGTCTCCACTTTCATCCAGGCCTTTAGTCAGATACCCTGGCCCGTCTTTTCCCAACCAATCCCTATAAGAGTGCTGCTCAGGGCTGATCGGCCGCTTAAGTAATGAACAACTCACCTGGAAGAACTCCCACTGGCACCCACACTGTAGGACTTAGCCTCGATGCCATGAAGACAGTCCTTAAGAGAGGAGATGAGGACACGGCAACGCTCATCGTTGGCGACCCGGGACTGTTTGATAACTGCAATGGCTGTGAGCAGTGTCTCAATGGCGTCACTGTAATCCCCTGATAGGATGGAGGGAAAGGCCAAGGATGAGTGGAGGCAAGTAACATAACTGGACCAAAAGAAGACTGCAAGAGGACACCAACTGAGAGTGACTAGCTGTTCCAAAGAGCAATGGTAAAATAGACGAGGTAAACATGGCACATGTAAAACTGGATGATACCAATAGTTCAATGGTTTGGAGTCTGACCAGTATTGCCAGATGCTGCTAGTGGTGTCTATAAACCTGACAACACTGACGGAAATAAACTAAAATTAAAATGTGCAAACACCTGACCCAGCAATTCTACAAATTTCTACTGTTCATAGAGGTGTGTACATTTAACAATGTTTCAGTGTTATTTATTGTTATTATCTTTGTTAGGGCCTGGCTATATAAATTAAGGAACCATGGTTATATGGATTACTAGTTGTTAAAATCACGAGGTAGGCCTAGTATGGGCCTTTAGTCCCAGCACTTGGGAGGCAGAGGCAGGCAAATCTCTATGAGTTTGAGGTCAGCCTGGTCTACATAATGAGTTCCAAGTCAGCTGAGGCTACAGGGAGACCCTGTCTCCAAAAGACCAAAAAAAAAAAAAACATCATGAGGTAAGTCTATAGACAAAGCAATTCATGTGAAGTGCTTAGTAACATGCCAGCTACAAAGTAAGGGCTCAATAAATCTTAGATGTTCTTAACATATTAAGACAGGTTCCAGAATACAGGAAGCGAAAAAGACAAGCTGAAAAACTAGTGATTATATTTTGGTGTGGATGGTGCTGGGGACTGAACCCAGAGCCTTGTCGGCTAGGCAGCCGACTCTACCATTAAGCTACATACCCAGTCTTTTATTTCATTTTTGTAAAAATAATAAAATTTATGCATATTATCTTATGTGCAACACCCTAAAAAAACTAGAGGAATACCCTAATTGTAAAGGGTGATTTTGCTGGTAGTCTTCACAGAGGACTTTCATTTTTAAACACTGTACTATAAATTATTATTATAATAAATTATTTTTAATTTATAACCAGGTATGTGCACATGTGTGTATAATACATATACCTCTATTACGTGTATAATATACCCGTAACTTATTTATTTAATTAATTAATTTTTATTTATTTATTTTGGTCTTTTTGAGACAGGGTCTCTCTGTAGCCCCAGCTGTCCTGAAACTCACTATGTAGACCAGGCTGGCCTTGAACTCACAGAAAGCTGCCTGCCTCTGCCTCCTGAGTGCTGGGACTAAAGGTGTGCACCAC